TGAGATTGGAGTTTCACTCTTGATGCCCAGGGTAAGAGTGCAAGTGACCATGATCTCGGCTCACCGGGTAGCCTTTCTCTGGACTATCTAGGTTCAAGTGATCCCTGCCCTCGAGCTTCCCCAGATAGCTGGGATTATCACGGTGTCTGCCACCACGGCCCTGGTCTAATTTTTTTGGTATTTTCAATAGAGGACAGGGGTTTCCCATGTTGGCCGGGGATGGTTGCAAATCCTGGACCTCAGGTGGGACACCTGCCTCAGCCTTCCCAAAGGTGGTGGGACTACAGGATGTGAGTACCATTCCGCCTAAAAAATGTTTTAAAAATTTGGTTCTAAAAAATAAAAATAAGATGATAAGAAGTAAATGGAAATAGTGGGGTTAATTTTTTATTGAGGCAAGACATTATCATTGTTAGTTAAAACAATCTGATCTTTTTTGGCAAAGTTTACTCATCATGTTCATATAATTTCCAACAATCTTTGTAATAATAAATTCTTGGAGAAACTGAACAAAAAAGAAGGAAGGAAGGAAGGGAGGGAGGGAGGGAGGGGGGAAGGCGTCTCCTTTTGGCACCTTCCATAATTAACCATTATTAATAATTTCTTCTGGCTGGGCGCAGTAGCTCACGCATGTAATCCCAGCACTTTGGGAGGCTTAGACGGGCGGATCACATGGGGTCAGGAGTTCAAGATCAGCCTGGCTAACATGGTGAAACCTTGTTTCCATAAAAATACAAAAAATTAGTCAAGCGTGGTGGGGCACACCTGTAATTCCAGCTACTTGGGAGGCTGAGGCAGGAGAATTTCTTGAACCTGGGAGTTGGAGGTTGCAGTGAACCGAGATTGTGCTATTGCACTCCAGCTTGGGCAACAAGAGCAAAACTCTGCCTCAAAAAAAAAAAAAAAAAAAAAAAAAAACCTTCTTATGTACAAACATATAAACCTATTTTTTGGTTTTTTTTCTTTTTATTTTCTTTTCTCTTTATTTTTTTGAGACAGAGTCTTGCTCTGTCAGTCAGAATGGAGTATAGTGGTGTGATCACAGCTCACTGCAGCCTACACTTCACAGGCTCAAGCGATCCCTTACTTCAGCCTCCCGAGTAGCTGGGACCATCGGTGTATGCCACCATGCTTGGCAAATTTTATATTTTTTGTAGAGAGAGGGGTCTCACCATGTTGCCCAGGCTGGTGTTTTTTCTTTTTAAAACATAAATGAAATTATACTATATGTGTTGCATATATTATGTTATTTTTTATGTAATAAAAAATATTACAGTTATTTTTCTTTA